TCTAGAGCATTTTTAATCTGAGGATGTCAAAGCACTTTACAAACACTATTTAAGCCTTGCAACATCACTGTGAATAAAATAAATATAGTAATTGCCATTTTACTAATGGGGAACTGAGCTAAAGAGAAGGATCAAGTTAGCTTCCCAATGTCAGAGATGGACTCAATAGTAGAGCTGGAAGAAGCACTGAGATCTCCTGATTCTCAGTCCTGTCCTCTAATCTCCAGACAGTACAAATCCAATATACACAAATCCATGGATGGTTCACAATGAAGAATAAGCCTTTAATCTTTTACCATTACTTTGAGGAAGGGTGGGGGTTTCCACAATAAGTTAACAAATTAAAATAAAGCTCTAAAGGCTGCAACCACCTTTTTCTTTGAGTATTGTTGGAAGAACTTCTCTTTTGAGAGATCCACAAGGAAAAAGAAGAGGTGATGAATTAGGTGTTTCCCCTGTAAACAAGCACATTAGCAAATTTCAATCATGGTTACATTTTTAACAGTTGGCACAAATGACACTTTAAAAGTGCCAAATTTTGAATATATACTGAAAATGCAGTATGCTTCATCATAGGTGCGTACAAAACTAAGATCATTGAAAACATTTGTAGTTCAAGCCACGTCTGCAATTCAGAAGGCAGAGGCTATTTAGCATGTAAATTAAAAATGATTCCATTGCTATAGTGTGAATACATTGGCTAAAAAGATCTGGCAAAAAGATAAATTGCATTGCTATATTCTATTTCCTTTGCCTTTCAATAGAGAATACCAAGTAAAATGTAAGTTATCTCCTTCTCGTCAGTCACTCCTCAGTTTTCAGACACACACTTGATTTGCTATTCAAAGGCTTAATCCAACAGAATGTAGCTGCAGCCATCTGAGCCGTGGATAACTCCATGATAGGTCATGCTACGTAGAGGATAGAACAGGCAATTGAAGAAAGGGACAGAATGCTTTGCAAAAGTGTTCCAAAGCTACCTCTAGCAACTTTATTTCCTTATTTGTGGGGGAGGATAGACTCCTACTCCCATTACCATGGGGTCTCAAAGGAGTCTTCCCACCCATCCTTACCCTTTGAGTTGGAGGGCCCCCATCCCTAATTGCTGCTATGCTGGGAGGAGCTTGCTGACATCAGTTGAAAGAGCAGGAAGGCTGCTCTTACCTGATTGATTTTTGGAAAGGGGACAGGCTTTGATTTGTATGTTTCTAATGCTGGCTTCTTCATGACTGATCTGTTAAATGGAGCCATCAGCTCAGAAGAAGATAATATATTTGGACTACAGTCTCTCTAAGATCCTTACCCATACTGCTATAAGGCTAAACACATATTCTTAAAAGGCACTATCAGCTGGTATTTCAGATCTCTATGTTGGCATTTTTAAGGGGTCTATCACTGGAATCTATGTATCCACAAACCCTATCTGATATGGTAGGCATGGAAGTGAAGACCGTAATTCCAGCAAGAATGACGGCAGTGTTTGTGAATAGAAGCTCCCCCACTGGATGGGAATGAGATAACATTAACTGTATTTTGGGAGTGTTTCAATCTTTTGCTGGATTTTAGGGATTTTTTTAATTAATAATTTAGGTCACTGCTTCAGAAAACTGTTGTTATTTTTTATTGCAAGTGATTGTGTACTTAGAAAACTGGAGAGTAACACAGCTCCCTCCACCATATTACAACTTGAAATACTACATCATTCTTGATATTCTAACCAAACTTCCTGTAGTATCTATTTCTAAATAATGCTTTTACAATTGTTATTTTTACCGCTGAAAAGAGATCCCAACATGGGAATTAATATTTTAATGAAATATTCATGGGGGTCCATGTCAGAAGCAAATGAAACTATGGAAATTACCAATCTTCCCTTTTTCCTAAATGGAACAACAAACTCCTTGCGTTTTTTTCAGCATGAAACAACATCTGAGCAGTGGACATATTCTAATCAAGTCTGTGCACACATTTGCTTTTTTATAGGATACTTAGTGTAAAATATATACTGATGCACACAATGGTCTGAGGCAAAATTCTGCACAACTACATCACTCTTTTTTAAATAAATGGGGTCCTTTAAAACCTATTAATTAATAATTCAATTTGCCCTGAAAGAGATTTTTTTCAGGAGTCTATCAGAACAATACACCACAGATTGGGTTGTTTATTTTAAGCACTGAAAAGAGATTCTTGGTTTTCAGCATTAAGCATCAGAGTTGCCTCTGGGGAAAAAACAGACACCATAGTAAAAATCAAATTGAAGGACCTTATTAGCAGTCTACACAGATTGATCTGAATATCCTAATTGCAAACTGAAGTTTTAGTAGGACCCAGAGACATGTTAGTAATAAATTACAGGAAGCAAAAAATTGAGATAAAATGCAGAAGAGTATTCTGTGAGATAAAGGCAAAATACATTAATATCAGCCCAACCAAAACTCATGTTAGTTAATTGAAATGCCAACATGATATCTGGAAAGTAACACTTATCCTTTTTGACTTGTGTTTACAAAGCAAAGAATAATAGTTCGATAGCTCTGTATCAATATACAATATAACAAGCACTGGCCCCAGAAGCATCCTCTAACTTACATAATCAACACTACAAACACATTAAATTCTAATAAAGCAAAAAAGATTTGTCTTGAAAACAGACTGAAACTACCTATTTAATTAAGGAGTCATTTGATCTATTCTCCTGATTAGCTAAGCCAAAATCAGCACCAAAGACATAGAAAGTGAATAACAAAAAAAATGTAACCCCTTCAGGGTATTTTTCATGCTGACAGCAAATATAAATGACATACAACCTTTTGTCTATCTAGATTTAGTCTTCTCATTTAATTCCTTATTTGTAATTTTATGTATAAGCAAAAAGAAATGGTTGACTAATAAGTGCATAATGGAAAACATTGATTCAGGACATTATTATAATTTATCTCTTACTTCAGAGGTTGTTATAAATGATTTGATAAATTGATTGCATTTATTTATAACCAAACTTAGACTTATCAGGTTGGGTATGTTCACATCAGCAGCAGGAGTCCCCACTGATTGAAATTTTCTGTATTGTTATGCTACATTCGGGATTGCATTTTTTGCAAATGTACTGAGGCTCCTGCCATTTTGTAGTATTCTAAAATGTTGCTTGAGATCTAACAAGAAGCTGCCCTCAGCCCAGGAATTTTTCCCAAATTGGTGTAAGAGGTGCAGTTCCTGCTTTCTGACTGGTGGCTTCCAGAGGCTGCTATTGGTTCTGGCGGTAATTCACCAGCTCTCACCAGAAGGTACTGTTTCCTAGCTGGCTGCCTCTATCAGTACCAGCTCCTTGCTCGGCACTGCCCGAGTGTGTGGAGAACAGGGAAGAAGCTGCTGGGCTAAGCAGAGTGAACAATAAGAGCTGGGATAAGTGTATCAGCAGAGCAACCCACTGTCTCTCCAACCCATAGAGAACAAACATGGAGGAAGAGAAGGGGCTTATAGAGGGGGGAGTGAGACAAATTCTATTAGGGAGAGGGCTGTGCCTTTAATGCACACACCCAAGTGGGGGCAGGTTATCCTCCTAAAAGTAAAATAAGAAGCAGCCAAACCAAAAATCTCTTTAGATTTAATTTAAAACAAAGGGCTGGTTTGCCCTCCCTCCTTTTCATCACTTTTGAACCTGCATCGTAGGCAAGCCTCTATTTTTTCCAGGGCTACTGTTGTACTCATTGCAATGGTACAGTCATTTATTGGGGTCAGATAAAGACTTCCTTTTCTGTAATACAGCACTGTCTTGGAGCAATCAATAGCGCTCTTAAAGGTCATTTTTCTTCAGTGCAGTTCAGGTCTTTTCTTATTATTGGATTTCCTAAAAATGTCACAATTCCAGTCACTGGAGAGTAATCCTTGGTATTACACATCTTTTTTTTTTTCTTGCATTTATCCTAAATCTATGGTTTTTTCCCACATTCTCAGATCACATGGCCCAGACAGACATCTGTCCCCTCTTCTAACAAATTCTCTTCAAAATGCACCTTTTCTGCAAAACCCACAAATACTAACCTATAATCCAAAATTACAGTTACCCACAATTTTTTTAAATAATCTCAGAGAAAACCTTCTGTATTGCATGATCTTTAGGACAGGGACCATGGGTTGTTCTTTTATGCCTTGTGCAGTGTTGTATAGGCCAAAATATTACTACTTCATTTTTCATTTCCAGAATTTTTTTTCATTTAAGTCAGCAGCTGTCTTTCTTGATTATTAAGATGATTCAATTTATTTAAAAACCTGCTTATGCAATTTAAAAAAAAAATCCTGCAGCCTTTCTGTAAATAAAAGTTTGACAGCTCTAATCCTACTTTTTCATTTGGCTACATAAATCTCTGTTGTGCAGAAAAGACTGTACTAATAACCCTCCACCCATAACAAATGTTATGTCCAATGGCCAAAAAATAATCTATCTAGGTTCTGACCCCATGCCCATCACTACAGTATCTGAGCACCTCGCTAAAAGATACATGTAGTCAGCAGGATGATAAGGTATGGTCAAGTAATAACGTATTTAAGACAGCAGCTACAGTAATTCACCTAACAGCTAAAATAACTGCACTGATCACCATCTGTGTTTCTGCATCTGGCTGCCCAAAGGTGGACCACTTTCACTTTATTGGTTAAATAAAATGACTTTTCAAAGTCTGGATCATTCTCTGTTCTATTGATGGATATTGCCTATGTCCCTAAGCCAATGTTTTCTCCCCTCCCCTCCCCCCACAATGTTTGGAGCAGAAAGCTCTCATCTCCCTGGCCTGTAAAAAGCAATTCTTCAGTTGAGTGGCTATCTCCCCCAATCTTCAATTTCACTGTCTCTTTGAGACTCTGCATTGCAGTTTCCTTAACACCCTGATACCTTGCATTGCCAGCAGAGGGACAAACTCAGTATTCAGTGGACTTAGGGTACAGAGCACCTAGACACTTGGTGCACAGCCTCACAGAGTTTCTACAGCTGGCACACACACAGAGCTCAATAAATCTCAAAGCCTTTTTAACATTAATTCCTGCCTAAATCTGTTGATCTTCTCTTGTTAAGCATCTCATCAAGCAGATATCAATCTGAATTTGAACACACTTTAAAGTCAGTATGAACATCAATTATGAACTCTCCTAAACACTATATATATCAGAAGTTCTGATACCAGTCTCACTTCCTTAGCAATTATCTCTTATGGCTAGGTTTCTCCTAATTCTAGAATCCCAGCTGTTTGATCATGAAACATCTCTGTACGGCTTGTAGTTGTTCTATCTTACAGTTGCCCAATAAACAATAATCAGCCACCAGGCCTAAACATGTTTCTCAAAAACACTACTACAGGGAAAATTAATACTTTAAATTTCTGATTATGGAGCTGGTGGGTTCCCCACTATTTGTGCATACAATACATAACAATTCTAATAGCATGGCTATATGCAATGCAGGCCAGTATAACAAAAACTAATAAACACAATACCTAAGCTTTCTAAATTAGCATTTTCCACTGGACCAGCTGACTTGAAATCACATAAAGCAGACAAAAGTTTGATACTGTTAGAAGTAGCTAGTAGTCCCGCATTACAGCTTTCACCATAACAAAAGCTAAGTTCAGCTTTCCATTGGAATCTTCCTCCCACCCCCCGCTTTCTTAACTTTCTCAAAACAATTCTCGTTTGGGACTTGTCTGGCTAATTTTGAGGGGGAAAGGGTTATCCCTTTATCTACTTTTGAATCATTGGAAAATGGCAGGGGAACGGGGGGTGGGGGGATGCCAACCTCATTTGGTTTGGGGTAATGTCTAATTTTGAAGCAAGGAAAGTCAGTATCAAAGGGACATGGAATATCAATTGCACCAAGATACATAAACAGGCTACATCTGCAGCTCTGCCTTTCATTACATTATAAAAGTCATGGCTAATAGGGTCAGTAAATGCCACTTTGTCTGTTGGACCATAAAATATTTTATAATTATTATTACAATTTACTTCATATAAACTAATATACCGATTGGATACTGTATAGCACAAACCTATTTATCCAAAACATGTTGGGGACATCTGAAGCATTCCAACAAAAGGGTTTTCAGGATTCTATTGAACACCTCTACACAGACTATGTGCAGTATTTTAAAATAAATTTAAATAAGTTTAAATGTGCCTTAACTGAAAGATTTCTGCATACTTACTTGCGCAAATGTATGCAGCTAGTTTTTCAGCATTTCCACACTTTTCTCCTTGTGGAGCAAGGCCAATTTCCTCCACTGTAAGAAAAGTAACAAAGAAATATATTGTTTGACAGAATGTGACAACCAATCTGATTTTATTTTCAGAAACACTTGAATGGAAACAGGAGATCCAACTTGATCCATCTTTTGCTGAACTTTCTTTAGACTTTCTTGAATCATTTTTTTAAGTAACGTACCACCTAAGGATTTGATCCTTGATCACACAGAGGGAACTGCATTAGGAGAGCAACATGGGGGATTATGGAATGTCTGAATTTTGTTCTGGAGCCTGTTTGTGAGTAAGGCTGCGAGTCTGTCATGGATTCTGTGACTTTCCGTGACCTCCGGGACTTCTGCAGTGGCTGTTGCTGGCTCAGCAACAGCAGTTTGGGTGTGTGGGAGGAGACTCAGGGGCAGAGGGTTGGAAGGTGCAGGGGGGCACTTACCTCGGGGTGGGGGGCTCCCACTGGCATGGCCCTGCAGCTCCTAGGCAGCGCAGGGGCCGGCGGGGGAGGGGGGCTGCGCACCACGCGCTGCCTGTGCCTGCAGGCCCCTCCCTCACAGCTCCCATTGGCTGCGGTTCCCAGTAAATGGGAGCTGCGGCAGCCGGCGTTTGTGCCCCTCCGCTGCCTAGAAGCTGTAGGGACATGGAGCCAGGTAGGGAGCTCCTGCCAGCCCTGCCAATCCTCCCCCCCGCCCCCCCCAGCACCAGCAGGGGTCCCGGGCCGGCTCCCACCCCCCGCCCAGCACCAGCAGGGGTCCCGGGCCGGCTCCCACCCCCTGCCCAGCACCAGCAGGGGTCCCGGGCCGCGCGCCTCAGCCCGGTTCTCCTTCACTCCCAAGCACCAGCAGGGTCCTGGGCTGCGCGCCTCGGCCCAGCTTCACGCCCGCCCCCAGCACAGCGGGGGTCTCAGGTCGCACACCTTGGCCTGGCTCCCTCTACCGCCCCAGTACCAGCAGGGGTCCCAAGCCATGCACGTCTTAGCCCGGCTCCCCCCCCCCCCCCCGCCCCGGAGGGGGACCCGGGCCACCCCTCTCCCCCGGCCTCCCACCCAAGTATTAGTCACAGGTATTTTTAGTAAAAGTCATGGACAGGTCACATGCCGTGAATTTTTGTTTACCGCCCGTGACCTGTCCATGACTTTTACTAAAAATACCTGTGACTAAAATGTAGCCTTAATCATTGGCCCCAAATTTACAGGGGGCAAAGGTGCCAGTGTTGGCTCACTGCACAAAACAAGGTGCACTCCCTGCGATTGCACCGGTGCTCCTGCTGTGCCTATAGACATGGCTTATCAGGTGTGCAGCTCCCCTCTGCGATGCAGGATAAAAAACTGAAAATCCAAGAGTACTATATGTCTCTTATTTACCTTAAAGGCATATATGGTGGAAATCCCAAGTAGTTAACTAAATAGGGTCAGATGTGACTGGCTCAAGCTTCCTTTCAGTCCATATTATTTTCTGTATCTTGACTGATATTGTGAATTGTGACCTTCTATGTGCAGTTAAATTAATCTCTTCTGTACTTCTAGAAATTAAATCCAGATTATCCCCATGCTAAGCAACCATTCAGGATCAGATTGTATCAGTCTTTTTATTTAATCCATATACGCTAAATATCACTAAACATTTTAGGTCTCTTGCACAAAAGCAAAACATCTGATGCAAAGCTAAGCTATCTTTTGTCTCCTTGAGGCTCTCACATACATCCTGGTAGCCTTAGTGAGATTTATCATAGAATAGAACAGGGATTGGCAACCTTTGGTATGCGGCCCGCCAGGGTAAGCACCCTGGCGGGCCGGGCTGGTTTGTTTACCTGCCGCGACCGCAGGTTTGGCCGATCGTGGCTCCCACTGGCCGCGGTTTGCCGCTCCAGGCCAATGGGGCCTGCGGGAAGCAGCGCGGGCCGAGGGATGTGCTGGCCGCCCTTCCCGCAGCTCTCATTGGCCTGGAGCGGCGAACCGCGGCCAGTGGGAGCTGCGATCGGCCGAACCTGCGGACGCGGCAGGTACACAAACCGGCCCGGCACACCAGGGGCTTTCCCTGAACAAGCGGCGGACTGGCTTTGAGAAACCACTGATCTAGCTCAACCCCCTGCTCAGAGCACGACCAATCCCCAACTAAATCATCCTAGCCAGGGCTTTGTCAAGCCTGACCTTAAAAACCTCTAAGGAAGGAGATTCCACCACCTCCCTAGGGAACCCATTCCAGTGCTTCACCACCCTCCTAGTGAAAAAGTTTTTCCTAATATCCAACCTCAACCTCCCCCACTGCAACTTGAGACCATTACTCCTTGTTCTGTCATCTGCTACCACTGAGAACAGTCTAGATCCATCCTCTTTGGAACCCCCTTTCAGGTAGTTGAAAGCAGCTATCAAATCCCCCCTCATTCTTCTCTTCTGCAGACTAAATAATCCCAGTTTCCTCAGCCTCTCCTCATAAGTCATGTGCTCCAGCCCCCTAATCATTTTTGTTGCCCTCCGCTGGACTTTTTCCAATTTTTCAACATCCTTCTTGTAGTGTGGGGCCCAAAACTGGACACAGTACTCCAGATGAGGCCTCGCCAATGCCGAATAGAGGGGAAGGATCGTGTCCCTTGATCTTCTGGCAATGCTCCTACTTATACAGCCCAAAATGCTGTTAGCCTTCTTGGCAACAAGGGCACACTGTTGACTCATATCCAGCTTCTTGTCCACTGTAACCCTTAGGTCTTTTTCTGCAGAACTGCTGCCTAGCCACTCGGTCCCTACTCTGTAGCAGTGGATGGGATTCTTCCATCCTAAGTGCAGGACTCTGCACTTGTCCTTGTTGAACCCTCATCAGATTTCTTTTGGCCCAATCCTCTAATTTGTCTAAATCCCTCTGTATCCTATCCCTACCCTCCAGCGTATCTACCACTCCTCCCAGTTTATCCAGTCATACTGAGGGGAATAAAACCTGTATCTAGCTCTGGAGTCTTGCTTGTCCTCATGGGCATGCGATTGTAAGATATTTTTGCAGGGAACTGAACAATTGCTCAGGCTATGTACTTCACAAAATAGTGGTAGGATAGGCAATGAGATGGGTGCAAGGAATCACATCACATAGCTATTGACACCTGCTAATGATGAACATCGTGCAACTTGTAACAAAACAGTTGCCATATAAATTCATCTTCTAATTCAAACAACAAAATGTCATCTAGCATGCTGAAGTTTACAAGCAGACAGGGTTTACATGAAATTAACATATCATTTAAAATGTGCCAAATTAACAGGAGGGAAAAAACCCACAGTCCTGTACACTTTAAATAACACAGTATTGATTTATCCTGCAGTACCCCAGCTAAATGTCAAATGTTCTACACTGTCTGATTTAGACTTTGGTTACCCATAACACTAAAAACCACACACACAATAGCTAACAATAGCAGAAAAAAATGAGTATCAAACTGTGCTGCTTATCTCTTTATAGGCCTACGTTACATCTTGTTTATCTATGTGATATAGTATCTTAATAGAAGAAAAGTAAAACTTGCATGGGACACCTAGGTCAGACTTAAACATAAACACCATGTTATAGAGTTATAACCAATGTATCAGGCCAATAACAAACAGTGAATCTACACATTAGTTGAAGTGGTTAAAATTAATTCAGCTAACCATATACTGAATAAGTCATCATTTATAAAATAAAGATCAAGTAAATAAATAAAACTGATATTACTGAAAAAGTGCAGTAAACTCCAATTAAGAGAACTATTGAGCATTGGCCTGCTAAACCCAGCATTGTGAGTTCAATCCTTGAGGAGGCCACTTAGGGATTTGGGGCAAAATCAGTACTTGGTCCTGCTAGCAAAGGCAGGGGGCTGGACTCAATGACCTTTCAGGGTCCCTTCCAGTTCTATGAGATAAGTATATCTCCATATATTATAGGGGAAGGGATGGCTCAGTGGTTTAAGCATTAGCCTGCTAAACCCAGGGTTGTGAGTTCAATCCTTAAGGGGGCCATTTAGGGAACTGGGGTAAAAATCTGTCTGGGGATTGGTCCTGCTTTGAGCAGGGGGTTGGACTAGATAACCTCCTGAGATCCCTTCCAACCCTGATATTCTATTCTATATAATAGCTGATTTGTGCTACCAGCCTACCTCTGCTTTGAAATGCTCTCAGAACAAAAGGAAAACAACTTAAGTATCAATTAATAGGATTTCAACATAGGGTAGAAGGATTCTTTGCCCACAGCATGAGTTATTTGTACAGCCTAATTAAAACAATGTATACAATTCCTTTAAACTCTCTGATGATGGATCACAACATAGAAACAATGGGTGAAATCCTACCCCCTTGAAGTCAATGAGAATTTTGTCACTGACTTCAATGGCACTAGCATTTCATTCATACCATAAACAAACAGAAAATACATATGAATTCAATACCTGCTTTTTTTTCTTTTTTTGACTAATCTTTTAAATCACCATTAATGTAATCGCAATTGCATTATAATGGGGAAAATAACATGCATCCCAGGGCCAGATCCTCAGCTGGTGTTGCTCTCATGATGTGTATAAAGCTGACTTTTTAGAAACTTTCACTTGTTAATAAAAAGGAGCTTCTTATGCCTTTGTTCTGGGAAACCTTGAACTAAGGTTAATGCTTCAAGAATTGTACTGAAGAGGTTGTTTTGTATAAGGGTTTCTTCTTTAATCCAGCTTACCTAGAGAAGCTGTAGCTTTTCCTACAACATATGCTGATTTGGTATTCCATTTTTCTTTAAGAGAATTACTCCAGGCTGTAAAACATTACATTATGTGTAAGCATTTGGCAATAAAGCATAAACACCAGAGTATTTGGACATCTGCCCAAAAGATTGCTTATTTATCTTGCGAAATCTGTGAGTGCACCAAAATACTAATAACCAATACTACATTATAAATGTCAGCAATTCTACATGTACAAAATGAAGATTTTAAATCAGTTATATGGTTCATTATAAAAACAGTCTATAACATACTTCAAAAAGCTTTGGTTGAACAAATACTGTTTTCAATTACTTGTGTAAAGTAGTATTTTTAATGCATACTTGCACAGTACCAGATCAACTGTAACTTGTAATGCTCATTTATATTTTGACATTAACTAGGAATAAAAACTCAGTTAAACTTGCAGAAGAAAAAGAATTCCAGAGCAAAAAGTGCATGATAAACTGATGAATTTCAAATTGTGCAATAAGGATATCCAATATAGATTCAGTCTTCAAGCTGAAAGCTTAGATGTAGAATAAATGCAAGATTTCATGCCAACCAATCAAAGAATAGTAAATAAATCCTATATTCATGCACTGAAATACTTTAGTATGCAGCTTTATTATTTTATAAAAATAATAAGACAAATGTATACGCTGATTGTGCTTTGAATAAAAAGAAAAAATAGATCTATCAATATGGAAAAAAATATTATCCTAGAGAAGCAGACACCAAAATAAAATGGCTAGGAAATAGCTTTTCCTTCTAAAAATGTTAGTTAAATGATAGCTTCACACTGAGCAATGTTGTTCGGCTCCAGCCTCCTCTTCCTCTCAATTCCTGAAAAATTGATTGAGCAGAGATAGATCTGATAGGTCTCCTATTATAATGCCTTATATAAAACAACAGTACAGACTCACATGAAATATACTGAGTTCATTTCTGCCCTTCAGTTTTTTAAAAAAATGGCTGAATAGAAGTAGAAAAGATCCAGAGAGAGTCGTGCAAAAAACCCCCCCCAAAACCCCAGAAGAATGGAAAGCCTTCCATATAAGGTGATATTGAAAAGATTGGGACTGATTAGCTTAGAAAGGAGTCTGAATAAGAGGAGACATGTGTGACACTACACACCTTGTATTCAGACCCTACAGACTATTGTAATAATCTTTGTACAAATATCCCTTGAGGTTTCATTTCAAAACTAATAACACATTGATCATTAACATTTTTGCATGATGTATGCACAGGGTGTGTACAAAAAGTTATGAATATATGCTGGAAATATGAGTAAAGTGTGTTTAAACCAGGCATGTCAGGGGAGATGGTACACAGGTCTGCCTTAGACAAAGGAATGTGTATTTGATTCTCTGACCAGCCTGATCTTCAGGCAAAGACAATGAAGGTCCACTTTTACATATTAGGTAAACAAAGCTGTTAAACTAAGAAGAGGAGAAAGAAAGAGCATGGAGCTTTCTTTACCACCAGACTTCATGTTGTCTTCCTTGCAGTTTGAAAAAACTTTATTTTGAGGGGTAACCCTCAGAAAAAATCATTTAAAAGTTTTATTAGTCTATAAAGACAGGGGGTCTGTACCTCAAGTGATAAGCAATTGAATTAACTGATTGTATACAATATTACTATATTATAAAAGTGTATAGAGTGAGGTCTTTTATGAAACCCTATGACACAATAGTGATTAATATCAGTGTGAACGGTATGTGTTAACACTACATAAGAAATGATGGAAACTCATTGATATTAGGCTTTCCTGTCTGTGACCAAAGGGAGAAACAAGTTTTCCCCCAGATAGGGATGAAATCAGCTGTCTACCTGTCTCCAATGAAATTATGCAAGGTGTGACCAGCAATACGGGAAGTTGTATTTACATAGAGATCAGCGGGGGAAGGGAAGACCACAGGAAAGGAAAAACAGCATGAGCTATGCGAATAGCGTAGCTGAAGTTGCGTATCTTAGATCGATTTCCCTCCCCTAGTGTAGACCAGCCCTAGGAATAGAAAGAAACTTTCTCTATATGTGGGCTATTCAATAATTGTCCATTTATATGCTTTCTTGCACCTTCCTCTGAAGCATCTTGTACTAGCCACTGTTAAAGCCAGAATTCCTGACTAGACAGACTATTGATCTAATCTGGTATGACAATTTCTATGTAATGTTCCACAAGACTTTTCCACCCAACCTGGTACATTGCTGTTCATTCATTATCATTTGTTCACTGTCTTTTCGCTACTTTTCAATCCACATGACAGATTTTATATTCAAGATTTGAAAAAACTGTTTCAAGTAAGATTTCATGCATGCATGATGATGGGGATGGCCAGTTTCTAGCGGCTAGAGAATTTTCAGTGGACACCTATGTACAGTCCCAGAACATACCTTTATATATTAAAAACTGAAATGGATTCTTTAGTTGGTGCTTACTACTGTCCTAGCATTACTAAGAAGAATAACTTGCATTCACTTTATGGGGAAAAATGAAGTCTAATTAGTAACTTGCACTCAGAGTTTTTTGTTATAATAGCTAGAAAAATTATTATTATGGGGGGGTGGGGGACGGACAAACAAACAAAATCTCTACATGTGAAAGCTCACCTAAGCATAAAGCAGCATGGTGCCTTTAAATATTCAAAGTCAATTATTAGATACGATTTTTTTTTAATATACACATACATACACACTAAGCAGACTCTGGTGGGAGCGAGAATGAAATTTACAAAACTTCATTTAAAAAGACATAACCAAAGGTATAAATCTGCACTTACCTTCATTTTTACTATTCTCTCCCAAACATAACTTGGCAGCTTCTACTGCTCTTGGGCTGGTAAAAATTAAACCCTCATAATGATCTGGATGAGAGAGCTACCAAAAACAATTTAGAAAATAGATTTAGATAAACTCTGGGAAGTTCAAAAAACATACAGTGAATGTTACAATTTTACAATATGAATGTTACAAAGTGGCAAATATTTTGATCACTTAATACAAGTAGCAAAAATATTAATGAGATTTATAACACTAAATTCAGGTTAACTCAAACTTTCACACAAGACAATGTTAATTCTGAAATCTGAATGTAGGAACAGACATAAATTCTTCTCACCAGACTTGTATGTGAGAAAAGTGTATAGGGTGACCAGATGTCCAATTTTATAGGGACAATCATGATTTTTGGGTCTTTTTCTTATATAGGCTCCTATTATCCCCCACCCCCATCCCAATTTTTCACATTTGCTGTCTGGTCACCCTAAAAGTGTATGATGGTTTTAAAATTCTTACAGGGGAAGCTAATAATTATTGCTAGCAGTAGCTCAGAAAGTAGCGTGAGGGCAGGTGCTTGCCTCATTGCCAGGGTGAAGACTAGTTCAGATTACTGTCTATGCAAAAAACACCACCAATAAAACATTGTAGGCCTTGTCTGAACATAGTAACAGATTACACAATTTAAACTCAGCATTTCAGTAAATATCCCTGGACATTTGTAAGAACAAGGATAACACAGAACTATGTATCTCAAATTTTAAATACCATAATTTTTAAAATGGTAACAAGGCAGAGAGAACATCAAGTGTTCAATTTTGTGGGTGCAGCACAAAACTTAAAGCCCAGGGCAAGAGAAGGGCTAAGACAGCTGTTAAACCATTTTTTCCCCCTCCTGGTTCTATGGTAATGGGGGGCTGAAAAGTACTGAGCACTTTTGAAAATCTCACTACTTTATTTAGGTGCCTATATGGGAGCTATTGGGTTCTGAGCTCTTTTCGAAACCTGGCATAAAAAGTGTAAAATACTCATCTTATACAGGAGTACAGGACAATTGTTTAAGATACTTTTTAACAACTAAGCGCCCAATCCTGAAACTGGCTCTGTATGGAACCTACTGCATGCATATAACCCTAATATAGAACACACAAATAAGGAATATTAAAATAATGTGGGAAAAGTTCTTTAGCATAAATACCATTTTCTATCACCTGTTACATTATTTCTTTATATACAGTAAAATAAAAATTAGGACTGTCGGATGTCTGAGGGTTATAGATAAATTTGGGTTAGCAATCAGAGACCATATAGAGATTTACAACACAAAATGCTAATAACAAATGCATGTATATTGCATACTCTGAGAATCTAAAACGACTGGATTTAAAGTGGGGTGAAATACTGGCCCCACTAAAGTCCATGGCAAAACTCTCATTTACTTCAGTGAAACCAGGATTTCACCAAAGCTGTTTCATTTAACCTCCTCATAAAGTGTATTTAATGCTACTAAAGCTGCAACGAAAGCACTATCTTAGGGCTTTGGCAAGTAGAACTTACCTGGGATCGCCCATGCCTCCTAACTCTGGCTGTGTATATTAGCTTCATAACTGGCCAACTCATTCACTGCTAATTAGTTTGGATCATAGTAAGGGGTTCGGGTTTTTTAAGTCTTTAGTTCTGCAGCTGCAGGGTATGGTAAAGTATGTGTAAATGCAGAACTTGTGCTAATGAGCTGCCTCACAGTAATTTCCATAAACATTTAGAAAACACACTGTGCATGTACAGCAAGCATTTTGGAGAGAGGTGCTGCAGCCTCAATATGTTCATTAGGTGACAGTAACATCACTTGCCTGGCACTAGAGAAATTCTCACACAGCTGGGGATGACCCTCAGCAACCTGGTTTCCCAAACTTTAAAATAATTTTAATTTAAAAAAATGTTTGCCTCCAGCCCAAGAACAGAGGAGAGGGAAGGAGAAATCCTCCTTGTCAAATCGAGAGCTATATAACCATAACATCCATCACGAGTGTCCTATTCATTGTTTTTCTTTGAACCAGCTAGCATTTAAAGCTCTCTTCAGCTGACTAACAGGCCCTGCCAGAGTTCAGTTGGGGAAGAGATATGAGTACTGTCTAAGCATGAGCATGATTTCTCAAAGCACATTGAAAGAGCTATTCTATAGAAAAAGGCTCTGTATTTAATGCATTCATTAAGACTTAAGTGACAGTAACATCATGTGTACAGGACCAATACACTCCTTCCATATGGTTTTTCGTCATTTTCAAGCCTGCTGCTGGGTTGAAGCTACTCACTCTACTGCAGCTTTATACATTTGTGGCGGGGTGCAGCCTGGGACTGTGGGACCGCTGTGCCCCCTTAACTCTCCAGTCTGGGCTGTCCCCACAGTGCTTTGCTAGTGACAACCAGCAAACCCCTCCAGGCACTGTTATCACTCAGGACAACCACATGTGGAGGCCCACACCCAGCTAGATTGCATGAATGCTCCCAGAGCCACTCATGAATCACAAAGAGAAAGGCACCTGCCAAATCCCCCCAGCTCCCAGCTTTGTACCTCAGAAATATACCGTCTTGCATTGTTCAAGACCCTTTCTTGAGCAATGCAAGTTTATTAACTGGTTCACCATTTCAACAATGGAATGTGGATATACACCAGCCTTTGTAAACCTGAGAAGATTTACCAAGCACTTCAGGCAAACTCACTGGTAAAGATAAACAGTAAAACAAGTTTATTGATTATAAAAGATTTTAAGTGATTATAAGTGATAGGCAAAAAGTCAGGTTATCATAAGAAAAGAAAATATAAGCACGTAGTCTAAACTCTCAACTCTGTTAGACTGGGCAACATCTAAATTAAGCAGTTTTTCTCACCCCACTGGATATTGCAGTTCAGATTACACAGATTTCACCCTTGAAACCTAGGCCAGTTTCCTCTATTGGAATCTTCACTCTTCTGAGTGTCCTTCCTTGTTGCTTGCAGCATAGGTGCGGGGAGGAGAAAAGGCAAAGCATGGGGTCCCCGCTTTGTGCTGTTTTATACCCTTAGTCCATGTGCTTGGAGAACACAAGTCCAGGCATGTCTGGTGGGCATTGCTGAGACCCCATAAGCAATTCCCCTGGTGTGGCCTTGTGCAAGTGAGTCATTGAATTGTAACTCCCTTACTGGACAATGGCTGTTGATGGTTGTTGGACACCCGCCCGGGCATTGGTTATCCACCTCATTATTGTCTTTGGGGAGCTAGTATCTGGGCGCTTCCCAAACCCACAGCATATTTTAGTGACAATCATACAATGCAATTCTCATAACTTCATATGCACTGATGATATACACATTTAGATGGAACAGTGGGTTTCAGCAGATCATAATCTTTCCTCTGATACCTCACATGGCATGCTTTATATGCAATATCACAATTATATATAGATGATGAATCTGGGGACTACCGGGCACTCCCCCAAGATATAGAGCGTCACAACATTTTAGATGTAAACTCTCTTAATGTACAAGTCTAAATCCAGCATCAGGTTGGAAAACTATGAAGCAGTATTTCAAATTTTCAGGGTAGCTGCAGGTGCGTTTCTCCATCCATGGTCCCTCAAGGGTCACACTTAAATGTTTCTGGCTCCCAGCCGTCACCTCTCCTGGATGGAAACCAGTGTCTCACTCCTTTCTGCCCTGGGGGCTTTAAGGCTGAACAGCTCCCAGCTTTATATTGCAATACCTCAGTAAGCCAGTCTGCCTAAAAGGCCAGTGCCTGTCCTTTGCTTCCTCTTTGAGGGCTATGACCAGTGTATTGCCAGCACTTACAAATTATCACACAGCTCCTTCCACGCCAGCACATTTATTGTTAAGGTAAAATCATCAGCATATAAAAACAACACCACCAAAACATACACGCATGCTACAAAGCTTACCAGGGTCACTCCCAATTTCAACATAAGTCACTGGTAATGTCAGTCCTTCAAACAGGGATAGCTCAGTGGTTTGAGCATTGGCCTGAGTTATTTTAAGATGGGGCTATTTATCCAAAAGTCCTTTCTTGTCTGTTGGGCTCTGGAAAATCTAGTTTGAACTGGAATATGCAAGCCTCCTTCGGAGGTACTGTAGTACCTTTCTGGAGGTGTTATAAACTGAGTGATTTGTGCTGATCACCCCTACTGTTTTCAATTTCTGAAGGAGCTGTGGTAACCCTCATCTCTTGGAGCGGGATTGGAGCGCAATCCCTGGCCCACATATGTACCATTCATACATTTAATACAAAAGGGTCTCCCAAAGATATTACAGAAAGTTGCCTATCTGTCACAAGTATATTGAAAAGTGGATTGCTTCTGCATGAGATGATCCTTTAATTTAACAAATGCATTCTAAGGGGAGTCTTCCTCTGTGGGATGAACAGCTCTTTTGCTCCAATCCCTCAGACAGAGACAAACACCTACAGGATCTCTATCAAGCATTCTTAAAACTACAATACCCACCTGCTGAAGTGAAGAAACAGATTGACAGAGACAGAAGAGTACTCAGAAGTCACCTACTACAGGACAGGCCCAACAAAGAAAGTAACAGAATGCCACTAGCTGTCACCTTCAGCCCCCAACTAAAACCTCTCCAGCGCATCATCAAGGATCTACAACCTATCCTGAAGGACGATCCATCACTCTCACAGATCTTGGGAGACAGGCCAGTCCTCGCTTACAGACAGCCCCCCAGCCTGAAGCAAATACTCACTAGCAACCACATACCACACAACAAAAACACTAACCCAGGAACCTATCCTTGCAACAAACTCCGTTGCCAACTCTGTCCACATATCTATTCAAGGGACACCATCATAGGACCTAATCACATTAGCCACACCATCGGGGCTCGTTCACCTGCACATCTACCAATGTGATATATGCCATCATGTGCCAGCAATGCTCCTCTGCCATTTACATTGGCCAAACCGGACAGTCTCTACGCAAAAGAATAAATGAACACAAATCTGACCTCAGGAATCATAACATTCAAAACTAGTTGGAGAACACTTCAACCTCCCTGGACACTCAATTACAGACCTAAAAGTGGCAATTCTCAACAAAAAACCTTCAAAAACAGACTCCAACGAGAAACTGCAGAACTGGAATTAATTTTCAAACTGGACACCATCAAATTAGGCCTGAATAAAGACTGGGAGTGGATGGGTCATTACACAAACTAAAAACTATTTCCTCATGCTAATTTTTCCTCCTACTGTTACTCACACCTTCTTGTCAACTGTTTGAAATGGGCCATCCTGATTACCACTACAAAAGTGATCTTCCCTCCTGCTGATAATAGCCCACTTTAATTGATTTGTCTCGTTAGAGTTGGTAAGGCAACCCCTATCTTTTCATGTTCTCTGTGTGTGTGTGTGTGTATATATATATATATATCTATCTTCCTACTGTATTTTCCACTCCATGCATCTGATGAAGTGGGTTTTAGCCCACAAAAGCTTATGCCCAAATAAATTTGTTAGTCCCTAAGGTGCCTTACCTTAAAAAGTTTATATTTGTTTTTTAGTTTTAATAATCATGTAACAGACCCAGGTGCTTGGCAACTGACTCAATAAGAATGTCTAAACAAACATCAGAGTAGAGGGTTTAAAAAAAATACAGGAAAGAAAATCAATTTTATGAGAACGAATTGAAAATTTTGAAGTTGTTTCTAGCTTGCAGGGTTCAAAATGGAACAATTTCTCACGCTCTCCCCCCCCCCGAAATTTTCAGGAAATACCTTTTAAAAAATGTTTGAATTTTTGTGTTTTCCTCCTCTCACTTTTTGCCACCAAGTGCAATGAAATAAATTATGTGCAGGGACATAATTTGTCAGTAACTTTTCATTTTTCCTAACCTTTGAAAAGTTGTAAAATAGCAAAAGGAAAAATGAAACTAATTCTGCCACAGTAATTATTCAGACGTCTCCAGTTTTTGAAGAGTCTGAATTTTCATTTTTCCTTTTGCCACTCTAGCTTCTCCAAGGTAAAGAAGTTTTGAAAAGTTACAGTGGCAAAGGGAAAAATGAAAAAGTGACACCTTCCCTCCCCAAAAAACCTAGCTATGATTAATTTGATGGCAAAATGGAGGGGCGAAAGGGGGCAATAATTAAAATTTTTGAAACTTTCAATTTCAAAAAACAAACAAACAAACAAAAAAAACAGAAAATTTTTAAAAAACCAAAAGCTTTTTGTGAAAGTTTTGAGTTTAGTAAAAAGACCATCTTTTGTCCCCAAGATGTTTCAAAACAAAAAATGTCAACCAGTCCTACTAAACACATTTCTTTTCTGTTTCTTTCTCCAGCTCACATGGTCCTTCCCTCCTCTCTCTCAGGTCCACAAAATCCCCTTTATTTAGAGCATTCTGTGGAACACACCATTGGGCACCTGTCAGGTAGGGAAACTTGAATAGTAAACAGTGTCCTTAGAATCTAGGCAACAGGTGGTTCAAATCATACAAACAAGTTCTTACTAAGGCCTATCTTTTTCTTGCATAAACCCACCTTCCTGTATACCTTCCTTTATATAAATCCTAGTGTTACAGCATGCTATGCCGTAGGCAGGAGCATAGAAGAAAGCACAGTCAGATCTTAGTTTAGTTTCCAGTTAACAAACAGAGGTCACTGATGAGCAGCTCAAACCACTAAGTGTGCTGTCCCCATGCCCAGTGGTTTTCAACCAGGGGCCAGGGTGCCCTGAGGGGCCACAAGCAGGTTTCAGGGGGTCCGCCAAGCAGGGCCGGCAGTAGACTTGCTGGGACCCAGGGCAGAAAGCCGAAGACCCACCGCATAGGGCTGAAGCCCAGGACCCCAAGTCCCGCCACCCGGGGCTGAAGCTGAAGCCTGAGCAACTTAACTTTGCAGGGCCCCAGGCAATTGCCCTGCTTGTTACCCCCTAATGCTGGTCCTGGCTTTTATATACAGAAAAATAGTTGTTGTGGCCATGGAGTTTTTATAGCATGTTGGGGGGGGAGGGGCTCAGAAAGAAAAAGGTTGAGAACCCCTGCCCTAGCCCCCACTAGTTTGGGGGAACAAAAAAGCAAGCCCTAAATTCAAAAGCCTGTTTTCTTGCCAGGCAGCAGCTCCACTTCCATGGCAAAGGCTTCTAGGCAATCGACCTAGTATTACAGTCACTGCAAGACTGGCTATAGCTCATCCCAGCTGAATCTGTCAGGTTAGTTACACGAGAAGAGACTACATCATCTAAGGGCTGGTCTTCACTACCCGCCCGGATCAGCGGTAGAAAATAGATCTCTCGGGGATCGATTTATCGCGTCTCGTCGGGACGCGATAATCGATCCCTGAATCGACGCACGTACTCCACCAGCCCAGATAGGAGTAAGCGCCGTCGACGGGGGAGCCGCGGCGGTCGATTTGCCGCCGTCCTCACAGCGGGGTAAGTTGGATCAGATACGTCGAATTCAGCTACGCTATTCCCGTAGCTGAATTTGCGTATCTGAAATCGATTCCCCCCCCCCCCGTAGTGTAGACGTAGCCTTAGGATGTCAGGAGGATGAGTTTTGTATGCTCAGTAAGTTCTTCACCATCGTTAGTAGCAGCTTTTTGGTCCAATTAGGCCATGAGGGACGAGACTAACAAGATACATACTTAAGGAGGGGACTAGAGTTGTGGAAAAGTTCTTTAACTCCCTATCAATTCAGGAGAGAAATAGCAATACAGATAGCAGTGAGGGGGTATTATTGAATCAGGATTAGTCTTTGTAGCTTGGCAGTCATAGGGAATAATTTCTCCAACAGGACTACTAAAAGGTTGAAATCTTACCTTTTCAAAGAAAGTCTGAAGAGACACAAGTTCAAATGACAAAACAGGGATTAAAGCTGCTTCAAATCCATATAATCCTAATTCCTATGGATAAAAGTATATCTAGTCATTGGAATGCATCACAAATAGTGGTTATTTATATTTATAAGAATGGGCTTTTAGCAGCAGAACTATTCAACTACTTTTCTGAACTAAAATCCAACACTGTCTATGGAATTTTTGGTTGTTTTTACTGATGAATTTAGTGCTGCTGAAAGATATTGTACTGACAGTCCTGGAGACTGAAGCCCTCTATTTATCCATTGAACAGGTACAATATAAGCCAGAGTGGGGAAACTTTTTGGCCCGAGGGCCACATCTGGGAATAGAATTTGTATAGCGGGCCATGAATGCTCACAAAATTGGAGTTAGGGTGCGAGAGGGGGTGAGGGCTCTGGCTGGGGGCGCGGGCTCCAGGGTGGGGCCAGAAATGAGGAGTTCAGGGTACGGAAGGGGGCTCCGGGCTGGGCGGGGGGAGTGTCGTGCGGGGGGGGTGAGGGCTCCGGCTGGGGGTGCAGGCTCTAGGGTGAGGCTGGGAATGAGGAGTTTGGGGTGTAGGAGGATGCTCTGGGCTGGAACTGAGGGGTTCGGAGGGCGGGAGGGGGATCCAGGCTGGGACAGGGGGTTGGGATGCGGGAAGGGGTGCAGGCTCCGGTTGGGGGTGCGGGCTCTAGGGTGGGGCTGGGGATGAGGAGTTTGGGGTGCAGGAGGGGGATCAGGGCTGGGGCATGGGGAGAGGCTCAGGGATGCAGGCTCCGGGCGGTGCTTACCTCAAGCAGCTCCCAGAAGCAGCGGCATGTCCCTTCTCCAGCTCCTAGGCGGAGGCGTGGCCAGGTGGCTCTGCACGCTGCCCCGTCTGCAGGCATCGCCTCTGCAGCTCCCATTGGAGCACTGGAGGGGGCCATTGGAGTGGGGCCATCGGCGCATGTAAGAACTGGAGGGGGGCCATACCACTGCTTCTGGGAGCCGCGTGGAGCGGCCCCCAACTCTGCTCCCCGGCTGGAGCACCGCAGCAGGGCCCTGTGGCTGCTTCTGGGAGTCGCCCCCGAACCTACTCCCTGGCTGGAGCGTCGGAGCAGGGCAAGCCCCAGACCCTGCTCCCCAGCGGGAGCTCGAAGACCAGCTTAAAACGTCTGGTGGCCAGATCCGGCCAGTGGGCCGTAGTTTTCCCACCCCTGATATAAGCGTTCTCTCACCACTGATGTGCCTCAGTACTAAGGGCCCAATCCTGCAAATTGTTGCATATATAGAAGGTTCATTAAAGCCAGTGGGACTATCTGCACAAGTAAGAACTGCCCACGTGAATAGGGTTTGCAGAGAAAAGGCCAATTATAGGGGTAAAAGGTATTTAAGTATCCAATTATGTTCTTGGACTCTCAATGGAGACTGCTAACAACTGTTTATAACAATTACAAAATATTGTAATCATAATTCTGATCTATGTGAAAGCAAACTGATATTTAGTCATTTACCCAGTTAAAAACTAAATTCAATAACAATGGATGATTACCAGCTAAGAACTTTAACTTTGGTTTTAGTGCATAACTGTCATATCTAAAACTACTCTTTGTAACAGTGCAAATTACACTGGAAAGTTAGTTTTCTCAATAGATACTAACATTTCAAACACTTTTTCCTAGTTTTGTAACATCCAATCAACTCAATGTTTAATTGCTAAGTATTATTATTAATTTAATAGTGAACAACACAAGGGATAGCTTCCCCCACCCCCATGTTACTTACTTGAATATATGGATCTGGTCCTGAGTCTCTGTCTTTGGGCTCCTTCAGTAACAGAACCTTCATTGTTTACCAAAAATGGCTACAGAACATTGAAACACAACAAAGAAATATCTAAATTAGATCTAGAGGACTTCTCTCTGTACAATGCCAGTAAAAGTTATGCACCACAATAAACAGCATAATTGACAGATACACTACTGTTTACATAATGAGTAAGCAGTTAACGAACATTCTCTGGGAGTGAACATCCACCCTGATAAGGCCAGCAAAAAGCATGTTGGTTTTGAATGATACCACTTACAGAGAGACAAACGACAATGAAAACCAACAAAAAGAATGCACTTTAAAAGAAAACACTTTTAAAAAGGAATAATAATCTCAGTAACATATTAACATAGAAATATAATGAGCATCCTCTGACAGCTTTGCTATTCTATTCTATATTGGTTCTTATACTGACCTCATCACATGGTATTTGAGCACCTTCCAGTGGTGCCCTAAGCCAGCGTTTCTCACATGCAGCCACAGCCGCCTGGGCAGTGATGGGGGGAGGAGGGGGGAGGGCGACCAGACAGCAAGTGTGAAAAATTTGGACAGGGGGTGGGGGGTAATAGGAGCCAATATAAGAAAAAGACCCCAAAATCGGGACTGTCCCTATAAAATCGGGACATCTGGTCACCCTAGGAGGGGGCAAAGTATTGGCCCCTCCTCTGGGCCTGCAAGTAGGGGCTGGGCCCTGCCCCCAGGGCCGGCTCTACTGTTTTTGCTGCCGCGGACAGCGGGGGCAGTCCGTGTGCCATTAGGGCGGCACACGCATTTCCGCGGAGGCGGCAATTCGGCGGCAGCTTCTGTCTTCAGCCAGAAGACAGAAGCCGCCGAATTGCCGCCGCGGGCAGCTGAACATAGAAGCTGCCGCCAAATTGCCGCCGCCGTGGAAACGCGCATGCTGCCCTAACGGCACACAGAGAGCCCCCGCCGTGTGGGGCGGCAATTCGGAGCCATGCTTGGGGGGGCAAAAACATACGGACTGCCGCCCCTTGCAGATTGCCGCCCCAAGCACCTGCTTGGAATGCTGGTGCCTGGAGCCAGCCCTGCCTGCCCCACTCTGGAGCCACAAACGCCAGAGCCACAGCCAGTGTGAGTTCCCCACCTTCCTGTAGGCAGTGAGACTCAGGCTTCCAGCTTCAGCCCTGGGGTGGCAGGTGGAAAGCTTCAGCCACATGGCGGCAGGCTCTGGCCACTGGGGTTCAGGCTCACCACCTGCCTCATCGCCTCTGGCCCGCGCTGCCTCTCTCAGCCCCTAACCCATCCACCCCATCACCCCTGGCCCCCAATGCCTCCCTACCCTCCACCCCATCCAAGGCTTAATTTGTCCCCTGGCTTGCCAGGGCTGTGTAGGTCTAATGTGAAAAGTGATATTTGTATGTTTGTTAATATCACTTTTCTCTGCCCCACAGCTAGCTAACAAGTCTGCTGCTGTGAAAAGTGATATTAACAAACATACAAATATAATTTTTCACAGAAGCAGACTTACTAGCTATCAATTCTATTTAAAAGAAAAAACCAGAAACCAAAAAAGCAAAAGAAACAACAAAAAAGACAAGAACATGCAAAGCACCTTATTTGTATTTCTATTCTGTTTAGGTCCAGTAAAGAATAGAGACAACTGTACATTGTTGTTATTATTGAGTCTGCAAAAAACCCAACAACCTTACATATATAAATTACAATGATTTGGACAGGTATATGTGCATATTTATTTGTTTTTCCTAAAATTAATTAAGTTTTTCGGAAAAATTGTCATAGCAGCCACCAGCAAGAGTTGGTGGCCGCACTCCGAGGACACCAAAAAATGTGTTGTGAGAACCCCTGCACTAAGCTACGTAACTAACATCTGTCACATTTATTCTTTCATCCTCTCCCCATGGAGAAAAGTGTATGTAGCAGAGTGTTTTATCTTGGAATTTATTTTAACAATATGTGTATTTCAGAGCAAACACTTCCAAATGAAGTCAACAGAAGCTGTGCCTGTGAGAGCTCAATATGTCTGAAAATCAGACCCCATTGAAGTCAATGAGACCAGCTAGTCGTGCTTAAAAATAGGCATGAGCTTAGATACTTTGCTGAATTGGGGCCTAAGTGACTTCTCTCCTACAGGACGATTCAATATCAGAGCCATGACTGGAACTCACAGTACTACTTCCTATTGCTGAGGTGTTCATCATGTCTCCTGAGATAAGGTTGTGATGACAGTTGCATGATAATAAGTCTAATTTTGACACACACATCCTCTTAACTTTTCATAGGAAGAAGATATTCCTATGAACATTTTTATGCTTAATTTAGGAGGCAGCAAATATTTTGGGGAGTGTCAAACAGAGCTTTTTTTTCTTGAAAAATACGTGTTCTTGTGATTTTTCAGCCATTTATAACTTTGAAACAAAATTCCAAAGTCAAAATAAACGAAGTTTGGTGTACCCCTCTGCAGAGTATAGGTTATTAGAATTTTGATTTTGAAACTAAAGGCATTAACAATCTTTCCGGCTATTGACTGAATCTCCACTAGCCACTCCACCATATAAAATGTAAGCATTTCAAAACTTCAACCAGTTACTGATTAACACTTAAGAAAAATGAACTTAAAGCACTGGCAGAGTTGTTAAGGTTCACTGAAGGAGAATCCATTTTTGGAAGAATTTATGAAATTTACTATAGCACAGCTCTCCTCTTGTAGACATTAGCAAGTCCACAGGAGGCAACAGAAGGCAGTGTATCAGGGGAAGATCTAAACCCAAGGTCCCTGCCTGTGGCTGACAGACCAAATAAGATACACAGGAGGACTTCTCTGCTCCAAATTCTCTTATATAGACTAATGTAGTAGGTCTCAACTTTGGCAGACTTCATCAAGCCCTCAGGAGGGTGTCTGAGTATATACATGTTGCTGGGGAGGGTTCAGATTTTTTTTTTTTAAACATAGGAAGTTCACACAAACTTTAACTTACTCTTAAAAGTTGTTCCAGTAATTACTACAACTGTTATATAAATTACATAAAAAGAACATTACAATTAAAAACCCAACAGCCTAAGCCTTAGAACATATTGAAATTATTATTAAGGAAACATATATGTACTCCAATATCCTTATAGTTCATACAGTCTCTTAACAATAGTGACACACACACTTCATAAATTACCTAAACTCTGACCGCAACATGAACTTACAAACTTTTCCAAAATATACATCACTAATTATGTACTTTAAATAATAGATGGCATACATATAATGACATTTTAAAAAATCCTTTCACCTCTTTGAAGATAGATGTATAATGTTTAATACTACTAAAAATGAAATCATCAAAAATGTAAATCTAAGAAAAAATGAAAATCGTCCCAAGGCAATAATTCTACTAGGGAAGAGTAAAAAAGCCAAACTAGAGTTACAAAACCCCAGAATAAAATCATAAAGTTGATTCAGGTGCATTCTGGAAGGAGGGGAGTTGTCATTGATGTTTTGGATGTAGTCAGAACCAAATTGTCTCCCCATCATGTAGCCTGTTGTGTGTCAAATACTGAAGAATAATAATAAACAGGTAAGTATCCATACTTATAAGCTTATTATAGGCTTCCAACTATCAAATGAATTCCACTGTTTAGTGCTTATGGGCAAAATATATATTAAAACTAAAGAAAAATTATTGGGAAAAGTCTTATAATATCACAAACTACTCTAATATGCAATTAGCTGAATGCCCACTTTACACAGAAATCACACAACTTATGTTTTGGACTCAGCCATCTGGTTTACTTTAAGTAAGCCTGCTTGCTCCTGATACCATGAACGTCTTTGGCTTGCTTTAATTTCTGCCAGAAGGCAGCTACTTTATTGACTTCAAAGGGATTGCAAAGTGTGTGACTGAAAACAGAATTTGGGCTAGAGCAGCTGCAGATTTGTGCACTCCTGTAATATTTGTCATGCCATGCTAGTGTCCTTTCAGGGGCTTTGGTGCACCTGCTGTAAAAGCAGCTACAGATCTCTCTGAACCTTGTGTCGTCTTTTCCTTCACAGTTCAGGCAGGTTTATGTGGCAAATATATTGACATGTATGATCAAATATAAAGTGATATAATGCACCAGTATGGCAATGCTCTCACGCAGCAGGGATGTCCTATAGAAGAGACAAACCTTGCATTGTTTTGGCTACAGCCTATCCAAACTCATTTTTCTTAGCAATTATGCCCTAGGACAACTGACATCACCGTGAATGTAGGCACAATGCCACCCTAACAGATGGGGATGAGTATAGACGGCCAAGAAGCCGAGAATGGGAAAATATGCATGTTGAATATGGTATTCCCAAACCAGAAATGTTGAAACAGCTGTTACTGCTGAACTTGTACTTCCATGACTAAGTGAATATGCCATCAGTACTTAAACTATAAATTGGATTTCCTTTAGAAATAATACTTTTTAAAAGTAACAGCTTCTGCAACTTATTACAATGTGTTATAGGTGCCACAGAAACAGAAATAATAATCTGTATTTATAATGGATTCTTCAAGTCCTTGAGACTCTGAGAAGGAGCCCCTGAAATTGGCTAATGAATTATTATTCTGAACAGCTGGATTCCCGCTGAATAAACGGAAAGAGTATAGAACCCTGTGAGACATTTCTGCTATATAGAAGAGTAATATGTATCCTAGAAATGGAGGAAATACATGAATAATACAAACAACTTCCTTGGCAATATATTCAATGAGTTCGCACATATACTTAAACATTACGCTTCTTTACATTATCTCCATTTCTCAAGAGATATACACAAACTTGTGACCAACATTAAAAAAAAGTTTCTGTAAAGAAGAATCAATGAAAAATGAAGTCCATTTGCTCAGTAGCTGTCGATTTACATCTGGAAATCAGAAATGAAGCAGAAATGTTCCCACTGTCAATTCTTTGTCTAAAAGTTAAACCCTTAAAACGGACCACCAGATGCTTTTTCAACAGACTCCAAAATCTTTTCATTTACTTATCTTTTTTTTGTTATTTTCTCTGGAGTCTGGACCTTCACTATACCTTGAGCAAGAAATGTGGACCTTGACAAAAAGTATTTGATTACCCCTGCCTTAAAACAAGTAACTGAAGCCAATCTTCCACCCTTGGCTAATACAAAGAGTCCCTCCTTCATAGGTGTTTCAAAATGCCATCATTACAAAGATTGTTCTTCAGTGCTAATGTAAATTGCATAAAGTGACCTGCAAAGGGAGGAGGGAGAGGGAGGGGCTTTTGCCCCTTTTTTGTTCTTTTATGATATATAATGGAGGCCTAAAAAGTGAGGTGGAGGAGGGCTCTGCTTGATTTTTTACATTAGAAAGTAAGGTTTTAACTACCATGTCAGATGCCACGTATCACTAGAAACCTCCAGGACTAAGAAATTACAGAAACAAACAAACAAAAAAATGAAACCTTAAAAATCGGAGCGTTGATTTTATTTATTCATAGCATTTAAACCCCTTTGGTTTGGCAACCCCCTTGTGACAGAGTGGCCGATTTCCAGACTCTGCGCAGGGAGGCAGGGCTGTTCTGCCGTCAAGTTCCCGGACTTCACACAAGGATGCAGGGCCGGTATTTTTGCTGCCGTGTCCCGCAGATCCTGCACCTTCATGCCCTCGCCCCCACCCGCACCCTGCCATGTTTCCTGCTCCGAGTCCCTGTGCACCCACCCGGAGCCCCGCCACCCCATCTCCGTGTCCCTCAGCCACCTCCGGGACGCCGCTTAACGGGCCCCGCCGCAGCGCACGGCTCCCCGGCCCGCTCTCAGTCACAGCCCCCAGGCTGGGCAGCGGCCGGGCCCATCCCGCCGCTCACCTGCGTGCGGGGGCCGCCCGTCGCCAGGGCCCGCTGTGCGCCGCCCCAGTCCGCCGCCTGCTCCTCCTCCGCGCTGCGGCCTTCCGGCTCCGGGGCGCCTGCGCGCGGCGGCGGGGCAGCGGCATGGCTACCCGGGCCAAGCGGAGAGCGCCGGGGCCGCCCGAGCGCCGGGAGCCGGACGGGGAGGAGCAGGACTCGGACTCGGAGCAGGGGGACTCGGCCTCCGAGGAGGAAGAGATCAGCGAGGTGACTGGCGAGAGGGCCGGAGGCCCCGCTCTGCGGGCTCCCGGTCCAGCGAGAGCCGCCCCACCCGCGTGGGCCGTGGGGCCCGCTCTGCCTTCCCCTCCCGCGGGTCCCGGAGCCCTTCTGTCTTACGGCCCCCTTGCCAGGGCCGCCCTCCCTCTTTTGCTGCCCCTCTGCCCCTTGCCCCCTCTTCCCACAGCACCGGGGCTACGCTCTTCTTCTCCCTGTCCCCTTCTTAATCTCAGCCCCAGTTACACGTGTCACCAGCCCGTGCCTCAGTTTCCTCAGCTGTAAATTTGGGGGAGGGGTTGCTAAATTTGCGCCCTATGGAAAGTGCGTTGAGCTCTGCAGGTGAAAGTACTATAGGGCAGCTAGGAGGTACTATGCTATCCCCGTGTGTCCCTCTTATAATCTCTCACCCTTCCTTTCTCGAGTCTGTCTTTCTACATGTTAATCTACTCCCCATTTTTGTTTCCTGAAGAGTAACTTTGATTTATTATCTCTGCCCTTCCTGGAAAAACAAAAACAACCGCTCCTAGACTCAGCATTAAATGCAGTTTTCAGGCAACATGCAGTATTTTTAAGCTAATATTTTTGTTGGAGCAAAGCAAAGTAAATTTAGCAAAACTAGAAAATCAAGAAAGGCCAGCTAACAGGCTCAAGTGCTTAGGTTGAGAGAGGGTGATGTCAGTGTTTGATGTACTGGGTTTTATGTGTATTAAAATAATACTAATTGTGAAAGCTTAAATGCAAAGTTAAAGTTAAAAAATTGAACAGTTCAGAGTTAGGAAATGTAAGCAATCTCATAATATTAAGATTATAATACCAACATTTGTTTGCCCATATGGCATGTACTGGTCCTGATCGCACCAATTCAAGGAAATACCTATTTTCTATGGCCCCAATTCTGCAATGCAGAACAAGCTGTAGTATCAAGGAGGCCTGCTTTAGGACCAGACTATATTAAAATATACATTTAACAGCTTAAATAGCAATCCACAATGCAGTGTGTGTGTAATGAGTTGGTTACTGCTAGAGCCTTAACTTCTATATATTTTTACTTTTTAATGTTTATATCTCCAAGCCTGCAATCAGTTCCACATGGATAAATCCCTACATCTATATGGAGCCCTGTTGAAGCCACACAGGGATAAGGGTCTGCCTAAGTAGATTCAAATTGTAGGACCATGGATGACAACTTGTTGAGAAAAGAATTTCTTCAGTCATGGAAGAAACAGGGAAGAGAGAAAACCACATAGGATACCAGAAAATTGATTATTTCTGTACTGATTTCAGTGTGTACTTCCAGAGCTGCATGAAGTTGAAAGTGTGCTCAGTGAACACCGTAGTGAAAATACACTCTCTCTTCTTCAGTAGGGGGAAAAGGGTGGGTTTTTAACTGAATTTAATTAACTCAAAGTAAAATCCTAGAAGACAAAGCAGTTTGTAGTTTTCATGTGAGTTAGTAGGTCAAATTACAGACAAGGCTTCCGTAAAGTCTTCAGCTAGACCTGCTAATGTAACGCCGGCAGACCTCTGTTGTCAGTGGGCAGGATTGAACCTGGGACCTCTGGAGCTAAATACATGAGCTAACAGCCATGTTGCTCTTAGCTAAGGCTTTAGAGCAGACTCATTAATCTCTCTCTAAGTCAGGGGTGGGCAAACTATGGCTCACAGGCTGGATCTGGCCCATCAGGGCTTTGGATCCGGCCTGCGGGATTGCCCCCCATGGCGCCCCGCGCCGCTCTCAGAGGTGGCCGGCACCACTTCCCTGCGGCCCCTGGGCAGGGTGGGGGAAGGGCTCTGTGCGTTGCCCTTGCCTCTAGGCACTCCCCTCCCCCCCCCCCCCCCGCCCTTGGGGACGGGCCCCGGGGGGCGGGCCAGGGCCAGGGCCCCAGAACCCTCTTCCCCCCGCCCCCCCCCTCCAAGGGGCCGCAGCACTTTCTGGAGCAGCACGGCATGGGGCCAGGGCAGGCATGCAGGGAGCCTGCCCTGGCCCCGGTGCACGCCACTGCCACTGGAGCGGGCCGGAGTCTGAACCCTACCTGCACCCCAACTCCCTGCCCTAAGCCCCCTGCCTGCACCTCACACCCCTCCTGCACCCCAACTCCCTGCCCTGAGCCCCCTGCCACACCCTGCACCCCTCCTGCACTCCAACCCCCTGCCCTGAGCCCCCTCATACACCTAACACCCCTCCTCTGCCCCAATCCCTTGCCCTGAGCCCCTTCCTGCACACCGCACCCCCTCCTATACCCCGCACTCCCTCCCACACCCCAACCCCCTGCCCCAGCCCTGCATACAATTTCCCCACCCAGATGTGGCCCTCGGCCCAAAAAGTTTGCCCACCCCTGCTCTGAGTGGTTTCGGTGCCACTAGATGGGGCAAAACACCACACCCAGAAGATGTGTAAGTTACACTAAAACATGTGAAAACTACAAACTGCCTTGACTTCTAGGATTTTACTTCTAGTTAAGAAGACACTTGTTTTCCTGGTGAAGACACAACCTAAGACCCTGTTTTGATTGGGGGAGTGAGGTATGTTTCAATCATGGTAACACTGAGTTAGCTTTACATGATGGGATCTCTTGGGTATATCTACATTGCCAAAAAAAAAAAAAAAAAGAAATCCCTGTGGCAGCAAGTCTCAGAGACCAGACTTGTGCTTGTGGGGCCTTCGCTACATGTTAAAAATAGCAGTGTAGATGTTCCCACTTGGGCTCTGAAACCCACTCCCCTCACCGGGTTTCAAAATCTGATCTCCAGCCCAAGCAGGAATGTCTATGCTGTTATTTTTAACATCATAGTGCAGGGGTCGGCAACATTCGGCACGCGGCTCGCCAGGGTAAGCACCCTGGCGTGCCGGGCCAGTTTTATTTACCTGCTGACGCG